GTTTTTGAGAAGCAGATGTTCTACGACAAGAGATTGTGTTGCCAGATAAAACTTCGAAATCGTGCATGCAACGAATACCATGAATTGTGCCTGTCTCAAAAAAGAGCAGTAAGTTTCAATAAAAAAATTAAGAGGTTTGACGTACCTGTTGTTTTGAATTGCTTGAGCCTTTCATTTAAAACGTTCAGCTTAGTTCGTTGTATTTGCTTCTCTTCAAGGAAAAATATATCGATGGCTGGGTGATCCTTGCCAGCAGCTTTAGCTGTTTGCAATTGTTGGTTTTTGGAAAATGTAAAAAAGTCATACGGAGTTGATAGTAGAATATTTTTGGAAAGGGTGATTCGCCTCGCTGTTGATTTTAAAACAGCTCCAACGCCGTCACCGGCCCCCTTCCCGTGGCCAGTGGCGGTAAAAGCCCAAGAAGCGTCCAAATTGAAGTCATTCTTATGATGTACTAAGTTGAGCATATTAGCATTGTTTTTAAATTGAGAGCTACAACCATCACTTGAATAAAAATATAAAACTATTTGGTGCTATGGTCCATAATTAAATTCCACAAGAACACAGGGAGTCTAAGATTTGAAAGTTCCAAATAGTTTATAATATCTCAAATAATTTCGAATACTTCGAAGAGCGAACGAATTTCAAAGACATTATCGAGCTTCGCAAAATATGATGAGATTTTGAGACTTTCTAAGAACCATGGCACATACTATTTTGTCATTAGTTAAGTCATTGGAAGAAAATAATCATGTAAGCCTAATTTAATCTAACTGTGATTAAGATGCGTCTAAATATAAAAGGTAAAAATACGTTTTCAATGTTTTTGCTTTCTTCAGATCCGTAAACCCAGTTTTATATAATGTTATTCTTTAACCTATGATTAACTTCATTTACCTGATGTAGATAATTCTTTTGAGAACAGGAAAGTTTTTCTTTACGTAATCAACAAGAATTTTTTGAGCACAGTAAACAAATGCGACATTATGCTCCATTGAATTACTGATTATTGCAATATCACGGTGTTCTTTTCCGATTGTTAAATGAATTGTAAAAAGAGAGACTTGATGTTGAGAAAAGAAGCCTTGTTGCACTTCTCGTTGACGAATTAGGGTGTAATTCATAGAGAAATCCATTTGAGCAACAATAAAAGTTGTTTTTGTTGATTGTGTACGAATTTCAGCTATATATTCACGTTGTCTTCGATTGCAAAATGTATGTAAAATAAATGAGGGCCATTCTGCTTCTATTTGAGCAAAGAGTGCTTCAACGGAACCCATGGTTTGTTGCAAGTCAAATTTGTTGTTCAGTTTTTTCCAAGTAGTCCAAGAACAATTTTCATCCATGTCAACGTTGATGTTTGCTGTAAGAATATTAATAAGAGATTTGGTCGAACATTGCTGACATTCACCAATAAAACAATCTTCCATATTATCATAACAAACCATTTCATTAATTAGATCTTTTATATCGAATATTTTTAATCCCACTGAAGTAGACTTGTTCTGTATGTAGTTATTCCATGCCTAAAAATTATTATTGCATCACAAAAGTTGTCAATTTATATAAACTCAGTTGGTCTCGTTACTGAAAATTACGACTGTGGTAGTGTAAAATCTTATCTGCTTGCTTTCTTCTGTTTGCTTTTCATAAGTGGTTTCAAGTTTTTGTATATCAATGCACAGAAAAAGGAAAACTAAGCTATATATCCTCCACTAGATTGTAAGCTTTCCACTTCTGTGCCAAACCACAAGAAACTGAAATTTCTTAGCAGAGTAGAATTTGATAGGGTTAAAACATATTTTAATGATACGCTGAAGTTTGTAAATGAATACATACCTTGATCAAAAGATTCATGTTTTCATGTATGATACACATACATGTGTCATGCGGCGATAAAATCTTTATATCCCGAGGTCGTGATGAATAAAATGTTGTACGACCGACCAAACCAGGAAAGCGCTCGTCAAATATTCGAAAAGCATCTAAGATGCTCATTTCCATATAACGAATAGGTACTGTGTTTTGATTAATTTGAATTGTATTTTTGGAATTTGATGACATACGACTAGTACCATCTTCTCGGTAGAAGTTGACTATAGTAGTAATCGTATCATTCGAAATTGGAGTATTGCCTTTGAAATATTGCGGGACAGCCAGAATACCTTCGTTCTGTCGGAGGGTAAGTGATTCACGAGCCTGATGTTCAGATGATCCAAACCTGAAAAGAAACGGTGTATACAAAGATTTCGTTCATGAAACTAAGTCGAAATAGAATATTCAGCTACTGACTTTCATACTACTTACCATTTACGAATTTTTTCTCGACCCCATGCCTTAGGTGCAATGGTTAACAAACGAACTTGCTCGGAAGCATAGCTTTCGTTGAATAAATTTTTTAAACCTGTCAAAAGATCATTCGATTCTTCAACAAGAAGCTCATGTGGATTTGGGTTATGTTCGTTTCCAGATTTTCCTTCTAGTATATCACATAAGCCATGAAGATATGTATAAACTTGACTAATTTGAGAACGAATCGAGTTAGTATTTAATCTTAAACAGAAACCTTTTATCAAGTTAAACAACATCTGAAACTCACTTATCATGGATAGGATCCATTTTTAGTAATTTAAAAACCGCAGATAACTGTTCCATCGCTTGTTCTTCGAGATAACTAACTTCAAGAAGCATATCATCTTCACTTTGTTTTTCATCATCATAACCTTGCTGATCACTTTCATCACTTATTTCTTCGTGATCATCATCTTCAGCTTGTCGATCGCATTCATCATCCACTTCTTCATTATCCTCATCTTCTTCATTATCTTCATCTTCTTCATTACTATCACCTTCTTCATTATCTTCATCTTCTGCATCATCATCATCTTCTTGATGATCCGTCGAACTATTTCCACTTAATTCGTCACCACCAGTATCCATGTCATACTTCTCAACAGTTTCATCCTGTTCTTTCATCACCTTTGTTTCCACCCATTGACACTTCGAGCACAACCAACGAATATTTAATTGTTCCAAATCATAACGAGTCCGTATAAAATTGAGAAGACGAGAAGAGACCCGCCGAGAACCTGTTGCTACATAAGAAGAAACAGTATGTAGTGTTGGATGTTGGCATAACCGTCGTCTTGGCATTTTTCCAATATTTCCTCTGGAATGGACAAAAAGAGAATGAGTTTATTATTGTAAACCAGCAGATACATATCATGAATCATCTAAAATATTTCATTGCTCGTAAAAGAGAAGCCACTACCGAGACGAAACAGTGCAAAAGATGTCATGAAATGTCGAAATATATCTTCGTTAGCACATGAGATTATAATAGAACATTCGTCACTGAAGTTAAGCGTCGGCTATCGATTTGACTCTTCCTTGGTAGTCTATCGGGCATGAAATTATGCAAACACCACTGTTCAATCTGTACACATTCGTTTTATAAAGTAAATGTTGTCATAAAAACCAAGATAATTACTATTGTGCCGACCACTTTAATTGCTATTACTTATATCAACCGAGTTGTCCGTTTTCTGGGCCAAATAGCATTGATCAAAAACGAAAATTTCAGGGACGGTAGAGCTAAGTGTACTGATGAAAATCCACTGTAAGATAGGTTTTTGGTTTTTCAAAATTGTGCCTGAGACGAAGGTACAAATTTGGAACATTTTTGAAACTAGGTCCGAAAGATTTTTTTGCCATTCGGTCCTAGAATAAGCTACAGATCTGTGGATTTCAACGTTGAATAGAGAACAGTTTGGCGGTTCTAAAGCACTAATGACAAATAAAAGTACGTTTAAGCTTCATTGAGATACTTCTGCCCAAAAAACGTCAGAAATTACCATTTTGTTGTGCGATTTCCCAAAAAACAGAACACCAGAAAAGAAAACGTTTGCTACCAAAAATGATCACCTCAATAAGTAGTATCTATGGTAAAATTTTCAGATTTCAATCATTTCAAATAGTGGAATTATGTATGACCTGGCACACCGGTGACACTCCTATACGAGTCTTACCCCACCTTTGGATCCCTTACTAAAGTTTAAAATTTTTTTGAACTTACGATTATTCTAAGATGCCCAAACCCTACAAGCTCAGAAAGTTTGACTTCATTTGGAAGAAGTGAATGCAAACTCTGGGATACTGTCCTAATAATTCCCATATGTGAGGAGTTGTTCCGAAAAAGCAACCTGGATCTTCGTACTTTGACCTTCCAAAACTTTTTAATTATTACCTCTAACCGTTTTCAGCTATGCTCCGTCTAACTGGAATATCAAAAGCGCGAAAAAAAAAATTTTCCCTGAAAGTGGTAGAAACCCGGCGGATTCACCCTTTACGAATAACAAATGGTACATTTTTCTCGTTCAGACGTTCCTGTACAGATTCCGAATAATGAGAACTCGCCAAATCTGGCCAGAATAGATAATTTCCATTTTGATGATACTTTTCGATGAAAGGAAGAAGCCTCTTGTTGATACATTCATTCAGATACGTGTCTTCATTAACAGCTTGTTTGCTCTTGTGAACGTACATGTTGGAAACACCCTTGGATGACATGGCCATCCATACCATAAGCTTCGGCTCAAATTTTTTCTTTTTTCGAAATTTTATATCTGTTGGTGCTGTAACTGGATCAGTAGAATAAAATAATCGATTACTATTCACATTATCACCAGCTAACTTGAAATATTTTTCATCATCTAAGATCAGATCACAACCACGCAACAATTTACGATAGAGTTTTCCACAATTTGTTTTTGCTCGTTTTTCTTGATCTTGACTGTCCATTTTCGGAGCCGTTCGACGTTTTCTGATACGAATCGATGTTCTTTTTCGAAGATTACGTGAAATCGTTGAATGGTGTACATGAGAATCTTTTGCTAGTTCACGTTGACTTACACCAGTTCGATTGTTCACAGATTTAACGATTTGTTTCAGCTTTTTATCAGATAATTTGAGCGGGCGACCACTTCGCGGTCGATCTATTGTAATTCCATACTTTAAATACTTGTTCAAGATATAATAAATGGTTCTTTGTGGAATATTTTGTTTTACGAAATACTTTACTGTAGTTTTCACAGATTTATTAGCAGAATCACAATAGAAGTTGCAAATACGTTGTGACAGTGCTTCTCTTTCATCACGTGTCATTTTTGTTACAAACAACTAGTAAGAATCGGTTATATATCGTTAGAAAGAAGAAAGAAAAAGCTATTAGTCAATCACAAAATGTTCAGTCCATCACGTGTTTATCCGTCCGAAATAGAACAGAACATATTTTGCAAAGACTTTTGCACCGCATGTTAATTCACTTAACATTAAGTTTAAGTGGTTGTGTTAGGCAAATATCATTTGATTTCGAGTTTTTCTTTACACCGATACGGACTCACCATGACGTTATTGAGGTTCTATAAAAGAGCACACTCTAAAAAAAATAGGTATTATCGAAAACCCTTAGAGGGTTTCCGAGTTTGTTACTATAGGAAACCCTTTAAGGGTTTCCGAAGAAGGGTTTCCGAGACCTCGGAAACCCATAGTACCCATTATAGCTAAACCTCAAATACCTCTTTGGAAACCCAAAGAAAAGGTTTTGCGAATGCGGTTAAAGCTCTACCAAACTAGCCTAGACAGAAATCCATCACTTCTCTACCAGCAGCAACAGGCATTCACAGCGGCCACAGACATTCAATGAGGTTCTGCTGTGAATCTATTCGCACCAAGAAATAACTAGAACAGACATTAAAGGACAGCAACACACGGAATTTAAAGAAAAACTTTAATTATCCAGATGCACTTCGTCGCACCATTACCAAACCATCAAGAAGCTAAATATAACGGCCTTCTCCACCTAAAAAATGAACAAAAGAAACAATTTTTCATCGAAAATCATCTAAACATACCCGTTTTCTTCACATTCAACCACATCAAAACTAATGAGCACCCTTTCGCATGTAAAACATAATTCAAGCAAAATAGTTAATGAACGAATTTCATAGCTCATCAAACATTACCCTACGACAATCATCTAAAAATAAAAAGAAAATTATATTTTAATTTACTAAATTGATTCAAACTCACCCGACCTATTGCGAGAAAACAATTCTAAGGATGAAAATAAAATTTCATTTTCGTACAATAATTTGAACAAACTTTCCATATATACTAATATATAAAGCGAATCTACAAATAAAAATGAAACTGTTTTTTAATTTTAAAGAATTTTTGTCCAGCTCACCAGATCTATGAATATAAAACGAATCTAAAAATGAAAATAGAATTGTATTTTTATTTAATGCATTGATTCAGACTCACAGAATATATCGATATCACACGAGTCTAAAAATAAAAATGAAACTTTAATTTAGAAAATTGATTCAAACTTACCAAATCGATCGATATTAAATGAATCTAAAAATAAAAATAAAATCTCATGTTCATGTTGTAATTGGAGTAAACTCACCAGATATATTGAGATATAAAACGAATCTAAACGTAAAAGCGAAACTTCATTTCCATTTAGTAATTGAAATAAACTTACATGATGTATTGAAATATAAAACGAAGATAAAAATAAAATAAAATAAAATAAAATATTATTTTAATTTAATAAATTGATTGAAACTTACCGGATCTACCAATATCGCATGAATCCAAAAACTGAAAATAAAATTGTATTTTTATTTTATTCATCGATTCAAACTCCCTGAATCTATTGACAGACAGCGAATCTGAAAGTAAAAATGAACTTTCATTCTTATTTAGTAATTGCAATGAACTCACCCGACATATTGAGTTA